AAAAAAAAAAAAAAAGAAAAAGAAGGTGATGAAAAGATTTTAAGGCTTGAAGTGTGAAAAGAAGAGGGAAAGCTAAGGAAGATAAGCAGTTGAAAGCAGAAGAGTGATTATAAAAATAGCAGCAGAAGTACAAATGGAGGTAGAGGGAAAGAATTTTTTAAAATGGCCAAAAGCGCCCTGGTGGCACAGATATTTTTGACAATCTTGCCCAAGACTGCTTGACTTTTTTGGACATCAAGAATTTATTGGGTGGGCTTCAACAGCTCAGACTCTGCATGGACAGAAGGAGGAGCAGCCCCCACCACACAGAACACCAGCTCTAAGCCACACGGCAAAGAGGGGTGGGCACAGGCAGCCACACGTGGCCCCTGTGTCCTCGGGCATGATGAGTGAAACCCCTCCATTTCCAGAGACAGACCAGGCAAATTCACACATGCTGCTCCCCACAAGCAGCAAAACACATCCCTGAACTGGGGGTTTTTCCCCTGAGATGTCTCTGGGCTGATCCCAGAGCTTCCCTGTGAGCCGTGGCCATTGCATGTGGCCAAGCTGCAGACACTCTGTTGTGCAAGAAGTCAGTGGGATGAGCCTGCCCATCCCCACACCTTTCCCTGCACATCACCAGGGATCCCTCCAGGGGGGTCTCCCCTGGTGGCAACCATGCCCAACTGAGAGTGGGACAGCTGGGGATTGTCCCCTCAGCACCTCAGGGGCTGCTGCCACTTTGTGTGAGGAGAGACTGCAAATCCAGCCAGGAGCCACAGCCAGGACCCACCATAAGTTGGGAAACAGTGTGCAGTGAGGACTGGATTTATGAAATGCTGTCTGTAAGCCAGCCCTCCCTCCAAAATACTAAACAAAAAACAACATTCAGATACATTTCAGAGGAAAACACGAAGCATCTGGTTCCCTTCGCTGGTGTACATAGCAAGAGAAAAGTTGGCAGTACATTTGCTTACCATAAAAGAGAGAGCTATGCAAAAAAAAGCCACATTAGAGTAACGTTGCCCAAAACAGAGTTAAATGTCTGCCTTGTTTTGAACGTGCTCGTGGTGGAAATGTGAGCAAAGGTCAGTCCAAATTAATGAGAACTGCAAATGAATTGGCTGGGCTGGGATTGGCACCCTGCCACCACATCTTGCCCAGCAATTCTTATTTATCCATTTATTTATTTTCCTGGACGAGAAGACATCCTGCAAACATCTAGAAAACCAGGCCTGGTGCTTCCTATGGATGACACAGGCCATTTCAGCCAGAGAGGTGTGGCTCGCATGCACCCATCCCCGTCCTCACCGCATCCCTCTCCTGCACGGACACAGGGGGGTGATGGGAGCCTGGTCCTCTGCTGAGAGGGCTTTCACAGGTAGTGGTGACTCTGCCTAAATGCCTCCTGCCCTCTGCCAAAAGCACCATGTTGAGGCCACCCATCCCTCACAGCCTGGACAGGGATGAGGATGAGGACAGACAGGGGAGCCACTTCCTGCTGTGGGCTGACCCATCACTGCTACCCATTGCTGCCACTGCAAGAAAATCCTGGTGTCCAGAAGGTGCCACTTCCCCGCCAACACACGGCAAGCCGATTGCGTCAAGGAGGGTGACAGATGTGCCTCCTCGGTTTTATGAAGCAAAGAGCATTTACCATGGCTCTTTCTGACATAGAGGCTGCTGAAAGCAGCTAAAAACTTGGGTTTGTTTTGGTTTAGGGGAAAGAAGGAGGAAGAAAAGGCCAGTCCCAGCTCTGGTTTTCCTCCTGGAAAGGGAAAGCTATCTAAGTAACTCTTGCTTTTCTGAATTTCAAATACAAAAACACATCAGTGCCATTCAAGCAGTTCCTTCCAGCTTCACAGCAACGACACACTCCAGAGGGCTGGAGGAAACAAGAGGGAAATGCTGAAGCAAAGGTGGCAGCACAGTTAACCCCCATGGGTCCGTGTGCCTTGGGGATTTAAGGAGGGATGTGGTGCAAAGCACACTGGCCCATCTCCCTGGGATGAGGAGCCCCAGCCTTGTCACTGCCAGCTCTGTGGAGGCCAGATGTAGACACAGCTACCAGCAAGGAGCATCCTAATCTGGGCCTGGTGGCATCACAGAGCAAGTCACAGAGTCCCACTTGGATGCTGTTTCAAAAATTTTTTTAGTTTTTATTTTGCAAAAGAAGAAGTTGGACTTTGAGATTACAAACAATGTTAGCCTCAATTCAAGAGGAAAAGGTGGATAAGAGCTGGCCCCTTTAAGGCAGTTTCACATCTCAGCTGCAGCCCAGCCGTGCTGTTGGCATTGCCCCAGCCAGGGCCACAGGCAGGCACGGGGCTCTGGGCACACACAGGATTAATTAGCCCCACTGACCACCATCAAGCAGCCAGGGCTGTGCTGCCAGTGCCATCTCCAAAGCTCATTAAACCAGAGCAGTGCCACACTTGGGAACAAGCAGTGTACTGCTTTGGGTGTCATGATAAAACCATTCCAACAGTCCCTGCCAAGCAGTGATGCCAGACTGTAGCACAAGAGGAGGGGGCTGTAATAGGGCCTGCAGCTGAGCAGGCTGAAGAGGAGAGTGAGGCTGGGTCAAATGGTGGAGGGTTTGGCAAGTGATTTGGGGGGGTGGAAAGGGCTGCTTGTACCAGGGTATCTTGTAGTTCTGGTGTTGCAAACAGGACATTGCTCAATGATTTAAAAAATGAACACCTCTGCCTGAGGTTATCAGCTTCAGGATAGTGACAAGGTTGTTAATGCAGCAATGTTGCCAGAATTGAAGAGATTCAGCATTCTGACTCGGGAATAAATGATGATGCTTTCCCCAGATACTGGAGATGAAGGGGAGATAATGCTGATGAAACGCAGGGAGCTGTAGCACAACTACAGTGACTCATCACAGCTGCCCAGGTGACCTGGCAGGCTAGGGAAATATTTGCACAAGTTTCAACAAGCCCTGTCTTCTATGTTCCTTCTGATGCCTGAGAGATGCTCTGGTGAATTTGGATGGCAATGGTAGGGTGCTGGGCTCCTATGACCAGGCAAGAGCACAGAGGTCTCCTCTGGGCATATGGGGATATTCACATCCTAAAAACCTCTGGTCAGGAGACCCAATTTGCATCATAACCTTGTCCCTGACAAAAACAAACCATTTCTTCTTCAAACAAGGAGGCTAAGGCTAATTATAAAACACTGTCAGTTGATGTTCCCATCTAGCCTAGGCAGGATACACTTTGGCTCAGTCTGCAAACATGGACAGCACTGCCAGCCCTGTGCCCATACCAGGCTTGGTATCCTGCACCTCTTCACTAAGCACAGGTAACTACCAGATTCGATCCACTGCAGGACAAGAGCTGGGAGACCTGCTCCTTCTTGGTACCCCCCTGCCCTGCAGTCCCCATGTGGAGGGGCTTTGGGGACACAGCCTGGGACACCCACCTGCATCCACACGAAGAAGTCGCAGTCTGCATGAAGTGTGAGAAGAAGGCTCCCAGCATGGAGAAGAAGGCTCCCAGCACCTGGTGCATCACTCACGGTAACCAGGGGGGTGAGGCTGGAGCTGACATCGGCTGGAGCTGACATCTGCTGGAGCTGCTGCCTAATGTGAGTCAGAAATGTTAGCAAGGGTCTTAAAAGTAAAGTTTTGTTTGCACTTCCAGAGGAAGAAAATACACCCAGAAACCAAATCTTAAAAAAAAAAAAAAAAAAAAAGAGGGAAAGCACAGAGATAAATACAATCCATTAGCAAATTAAATAGAATCAAGGCTGGAATTGTGTTTTAGTGGCATCGGTTCTTGCAAGAACCTCACGCTCCAGCCTCAGAGGGCACTGGCAAGGCATGATGCTGCCTTTGTACTGCTCCTTTGGTGCTCTGCTTTACAGTGGGGATTAATTTAGGAAAAAAAGGATTATTTAAAAAACCCCTCACCCCTCTCTCTCCTCCACCACCCTCCCCATGCAGTGATGCGGGATAATGAACTGCTAGGACTGTCATCCAAAGAGCGCTTAATGACAGTATTCACTCTGTGTAGCATTGGCTGTTCTCAGAGCTCTCGTTATGAATGGTTTTCAAGCTGTTTTGACTATTTTCCGTTACAAAGAGGAACTCACTGTTAGCTGCCTATTTTCATCACGGAAGCTGGCCAACATAATCCTCACGGAGCTGTGACACCATGGCCAATGGCTAACACTCCCATTCTCTCGCCTCCACCTTTATGACAGTGGAGAAGGCAAGGCTCACCCTCCCTGTCCCTTGCCTCCTGTTCACTGCTCCTGTTTTGGGCTCATGATCTGATTTTGCAGGTGATGCTTCTCTAAACTATCTGGCTACAGTGTCCCGAGTTGCATCCCCTTGTGGTGCTGCACCCATGGGTTTTCATGGCACTGTCGAGCCTGTGCCTCCGACTGTCCACTTTTAGGGGCTGTGAGTCCCCATTGCAGGCTTGGCAAGGGGAAGGAGACCCAGCCTGAGCTTCATCTGTGCCGCAGAGACACCATGAAGATGCGCTAAAGCAATCTGTTCTCCCATCTTTTCCCAGACCCTTTGCCGTGAGACACAATATTTTGGAGGGGCAGCTGAAATCTTGCTGGTGTTAATTTAGTTTCGGTCTGCTCACTGTTAACTTTGGGCTTGCTGCGCTTTTTGTGGCTCCTTTTCCATAAAGAAAGCTTATTTCTCTTAAAACAGGGCGAGAAGCAGCTTGGCACCACAGACACTTTAAAGATGTTTGAACATTTGCAAGAGGAAGCAAACACATTTTTTAAATATTATGAAAAGCACCTTGAACAACAACTTCTCATCAAGAGCCCCCTGCAGGCTCCATCCTTTGCTGAAGGAGCCCATTGCTCAGCCTGGGAGCATCTGAGGCTCAGTGCATCACCCCACACTTTTGTGCTACATCTCAGAATCCTGCCCCGGGCATGCCATCCAACAGGGCTGGAACAGTGACGCAGGGCACTGAGTAGGAGATGAGCTCTGCTGAATCAAAATAATATTAAAAAACAATGAGGGACATCCCACAGCAGCTCCTCTCTGCAGCCATACTCACCAGCCAGCCCTCAGGAGTGGATGATAAAAATAAAGAGGAAAATAAGTTCACAACATACTTCAACACTGTCAAGTGAGCAGTGGTTCCTGAGTCACTCTGGGGTCTCACTAAGGTTTTCAGGCATTGTTTCACTGTACCCTACTTACATGAAATTGGGATATGACTCGTCTTTGTTTTTCCCCAAATGAGGTTTTCCTACTGAAACCTTGATTTTCTGGTCAACATAAAACTTGAGGGGTGATTTTATTTTTAATGAATTGTGAGAAAAATTAGGGGTAGATAAGCACAAAAAATTTACATGTCTGCTAATGTTAATCTGTTTTTTAAAATAAAAAGACATTTTCTGGCTAAAAGCCTTTCCTTTCTAATATTTTGACTCTCCCCACAGGTGTCAGTGTTCACTTGTCTCCTTGTTGTCCCTTCTGACATAGTACCATGTTCCTTGTGTTTCCCCCCCGATTTTTCTTGGTAGAGCCACATCCCTGCCAGCCAGCTGGCCACAGGCACACAAATCACAGACGCCAGGCATGGGAGCACTGACAGCCAGCAGAGACCATTAGATCATCTTGCCTGACCTTCCCTGATGTAGGGCTGAGTTTGGCATCCAATTACTCCTGTACCAAGCCCAGTAACTCCTGCCTGGCTCAAGTGTATGGGGCAGAAATGCGTCCTGTCTGGGTCTAAATATATCAAAGGCAAGGGAATGCGCTGCTCTCCTGGGTAGTTTAATCTTTATTAACACTCGCTTTTTAAAAGGTCTGTTTGATTCACAATTTGAATTTGTCTGGCTTCAGCTTCCAGGCGTGAGCTCATGCAATGCCTTTCTCCTCTAGATTAAACAGTCTTTTAATACCTGCCTTTCTCTCCCCATGAAGGTACCTCACACAGCACAATTAAGTCACCTCTTGATCTTCTTTTTAATAAGCTAAACAGGCTGAGCTCCCCTGGTTTCGCACCATAAGACATTCCCCCAGCCCTTCCCGAGGATCAAATCTCCAGTACCACCTGATCCCGTGCAGGGGGGATGCATGGCAAAGCAGCCCTGTGCAGCTGATGAAATTAAGAAGCTTGCAGGATATGGCAGCTTTTCTCTGCTGCCTGCTCCCCCAGCCAGCCTGTATTTTTGGGGAGGCTGCTTAGGGGTGTCAGGTGAGGTTTCACACCTCTCCAGGGACCTCTCCACCCCAAGTTCCCCAATTGCTGAGCAATGGGGAGGCAGTACCGCAGCTGCCCCCATGTGTATGGATGAGATGCCAGACAAGCAACAAAATTTAGGGCCCTTTCCTAGTGCAGGGAATTTGGGTGTTCCCAGAGCCATCATCTGCTTTACACCACACCGTCACACCAAGCCATCCCCATCAACTTTAGCTATCCCTAAAATTCATAATTCCTTGTGGTTTTAGGTGGTGTCGCTGCCATCACTCACCCTGTCTCTAGAGAGTCCCAGATGGCAGGCAGCAGCCTCCCACCCACACCACCCATGGCATTTACTGACCAAAACAAGGAACTGGACAAGACCTTTCCTCATTGAACATTTACCTGGAGGAACAATAAAACAGCATTAGCCAAAAAATGAAAGTCAATGCACATGCAATGCTGCACACACATTACTGGCAAGAATCACTACTTTTGATCCATTTTTTAATATGTTTCCTTCTGAACTGGACCCCAAATGCCCCAGCCAATGCAAGCAGGGATGGGGATATTTTGGGTGATGCAGTTTTAGAGCCAGCCAGCCCACAAGCTGGATTTTAGCCACGGGCTTCAGCAATACTATTTCACAAAACGTTATAACGTTTTAGCTGGGAGAGTAGGCAGGGCCCCTTGCACTCTCCACCGGGTATTTGTCCTGCCTGTGAATCAATTACAGCAGAGACACTGTGTGCATTAGGATTGCTGCTTGGCACCTATTTCAGCCCTGATATATGTTGCTCTGCTCTGCAACAAACGACTTAGATAAACCTCCAGGAGGTCCTGTCTGTCAGCGAGGTTTTTATTAGGTGAGCCATGCCCATTCTCACAACGGAATGGCTACCTGGTAGAAAATTGTAAGCTGTTTCCCTCGGAGGGGGTGAGCCCGAAATGAGTTTACCGATCTCACTTTGGGAACAGACTCAGATATTAAAGGGACCAGAGAGTATCATTACTGCCAGGTGATAAAAACAACCACTATTTGGGAAGACTGATGGCCTTTGTACAAGCTCCCAACAGAAGCTTCATTCTGCACAGTGGATAATAACAGCCGTCTTGGGCTGAAATCCCAAAGCAGCTGCATTTTCCAAGGCTACAAAAGTGACTTCAGGATTCCTGGCGCCACGTTGCTCAAGCATCACTTTTTGGCAGTGACAAAGCCCAAGAGTGGTTAATATTCTTCAATGATCACAGCTTAAAGATGTCATCTGCTCTCTCCCTGCTTGCAGCTCTGCTTTCTGGATTGCCGCCCTGTCTCAGCAAGGGTCAGATGTCAGTGGGAGCAGAAGCTACCTGGGGCAGGAAAGCCAGCAAGCACATCTTCCCCCTTGCAATGGGGAGTAGAAGGCTGAAGCCTAAATCTCTGCCACTAAAATAGGTGCCAGCTTGCATTATGGCATCCTGAAAACATCATTGCATCACACTGCAGACATGACCTTTCACTACAGCTTCTTGTGCCCTGGGAGCAGGCAGCACCTTCCAGCACCATCTCAAGCCTATTTTAACCAACTGCAGTGCTCTGCCTGGCAATCACAACTCCCTGACCACTGGTCCTGGGGCAAGCTCCAGGCCGGGACATTCTCAGTTTCCTGCAGCTCTCTTGGCCACAGCCACACTGAGCAGGTACCTGTCCCATCTGAGAAGTACCCACCCTGCTAAGGAGCTACTGGGATCTTTCAAGAGTTTTGCCGGTCCCTGGACCAGGGCTCTACAACAAGCACAGAGCTGCCACCAGCTCATCTGGGAGCCAGGCAGATCCCCACTGATTTTCTGACCAGCTTAACAAATAGTTATTTCCTGTGCCCATTTCCTGCACCACTTCCCATTCCTACATCACTGGTTCCACCAGTGACCTTGTGAGAGCCCAGAAGGACGGTGGAGCAGCATAGGGATGTGGTGAGGCTGTGGTGTGCCATCACCCCACTCACAGGGCTGTCCACTGTGGCAGACCCAGCAGCCTAGGGCAGGGTCTAAGCCATGGGTCTGCCTCTCACCAGTGTCCCTGCCCCAGGGCAGAGCTGCAATGGGGGCACATCTACCAGAGGGCAAATAAAAAAACAACAGCGCATTTCAGCTCAGCTACTGTTTGTGTTTTCCCCTTGCCAGCACAGGGGTTTTGGGTGTGCAAGCCTAGGGGTGTCAACCAGCCCCCTTGCACACCTGGTCTTGGGGCTGAGGGCTGTGCACGGCAGCCAAAGGCTGGCTCCTGTACCAGAGCTATCCCACACAGAGGACTGGCTTCATTTGCTTTCACAACAAGGTACCCTGTTGCCAGTGTCACTTACATTCAGCCCTGACACCTATTCATCCAGCTCAAGTGCTTTTTTCTATATGGGTTTTCTTGGCTGTTTTCTCTAGATGATCTTCTGAAGAATGCTAGTTCCCTTTGTAACCTTTCAAGAGTCCTCTCTGTATGAAGTTCTCTTCACATCATCTCCAACAGATGCAGGCAATAAAGTCGCAGCAGATTTATGAGTTTGAGAATCTCATTATATCTATCTACCCATCAAGAAAAGGAGCTGTCTTTAGAAAAGGCAAGGGATGGATTTTGCTGTTATCTATTGTTTAAAGAGATGAAGAAAAATAAACCCTCTTCAAGCCTTCCCAGCCCCAACTGTGTAAAAACATCCTCTGAACTCACCAAGCACAGTGCCAGCCTATGCCAACGTCAGGACGTGGCCCTGCAGCTCTTTGGAGAGTTGAAAAAACCCAGCTCCATGCCTGTGCACCTCTGCCAAGCGCCTCAGCTGGCATCAGCTTCAGACCCAGCCACAGTGCTGCTGTGGATGACAATCAGTCCAGGTGGACTGTGCTCTTGGAGACCTGTTAGAGACAAGTTAGAATAGCTTGTGAAGGACAATGGCAGCTCACTGCTGATGTCTGCCTGTGGAGATGAACATCCTCAGCAAGCAGCAGTGTAAAAAGGGAGCTCCCCCCACGGTCCCCATGCCCTTGAGGGTCCCCAAAGCCATGATACCATGCCCATAAAGCATAGGTTTTGGCTATGGAGCCCAAATAGGACTGCTATCCTACCCCTATCCATCCCAGCATAGACCCCATACCACAGCTCACCCACTCTGGCAGTGGCTTGCCATGAAGGACAAAGGCTGTGAGCAAACAATTAGGCAGCAGAAAGAGAGCCAGGGGGACCAACAGCCTTCAGAAGTAGTGAGGTGTCAGGAAAGAGGTGACAATCCCCTGACCCACCCCATTCAGCACTGATGACACCGCCCTGGTGAGCCTTCACAGCAAGCACTTGCTCCCAGGCTCCATGGGAGCCACGCAGCCAGCTCCTTGCCTGTTCCCATGCTCTCTGCTGCTGCTTTCCCAGCAGCCAGGCCAACTCTCCTCCAGGATGCTCCCATCTGCCTGTGCCTGTGGGGATGGAGGGTTTGCACCAGGAAGGGCTGACACTGGTGACATTTATAGGCAGAAGCTTCTGGGTGGTGTCAGAGAGGGTTAAACAAGCACATTAGCAGGATCTAGTCTGGGGGATCGTGGCAACGGGTCATGTGTTTGCCATGTTCTTCGACCACATCAGTCAGGGTTTTGTAATGGCTGAAGTCCCACTTGGGAAATACATTTTCCAGGCATGGTTCCAGTCAAAAGGCAGCTCTGCAGCCCTATTGTGAGCACAATTTTGCAGCTTGTTTGCAAATGGTCAGAGACCTGTCTAGCATCCCTCCCAGCCCAGCTTGCTCAGCAGACCTGGCTGTGCTCAGCCTTGGAGGAGAAAAAGCCTTTGGGCTCATCCCACAGGAGAAGGGCCCAGATCTGTGAGTTACATTGTCCAGGGCAGGTCAGAGACTGGGACTGGAGGGGGTGCACCAGGATGTGACAGACAGCTGGCATGAAATCATGGCTTCTGCAAAGTCAACAGGACTTTGGTCACCAGCTTACAGCCACAATTTCAGCTTCAAAATGCTGGTGTCTGGGGCTTTCAGTCACTCCCTGCTCTGTTTCACGGATATGGAGCCTCTTTCTCTGCAAACATAACAAATCAGTTTTGATCTTTCCCATCAGCCTCTTTTGCAAACACACATCCCGTACGACATCTCTGTTCATACGTCAAAATACTTGGCAAAACAAAGCAGAAACCTGTTCTTCCTGTCAAGTAAAAAATTAATTAGGACAGAACCCTGATTCTGAACAAATAAGCAAAAATCCCACCTCCCTCCAGCTCTTTAAGCAAAAACTTTCAGGCAAGGATTAACTGCCAGTGAACAGTCACAGCTATTATATTTGAAAGGTGACTGGTCTGCAGATGAAATGTCAGAGTTTACTTTGCAAACACTTTCTGGTTTTTTACAAAAGAATAGGGAAAAAGCCCACCCTCAGCCATTGCAAATCATCACTGTTGTATGAAGCAAAACATCACGTCCCATCTGAAAATATTAGTTCACGATTTTGTTTCATGCTGATCTAATTTGTGAGCCATGGCGAGGCACAGCCTGTGTTTGAAGAGTTTAATAAGTCACTGTATGTGTAGCACTAAATCCAGGCCCTAAGGGGATGGGACCCCCCCATCTATAGCAGCCCTGACCTCAGTTTGCTGGACCCTATGGGGGACTGGGGGTGCAGCCTTGCTTTAGCACTGCCTGGACCCTGCTGCTCAGGCACCCACCTGGCATTTGGGCTGGGTTCATGTACAGCAGCTGAGGGGCTGGTTCTTCACAAAGACTTCATCCCTGCAAACCTCTTGTCAACAACAGCGGCTGAGGGAAGCAGCACTTCCACAAGCTGTGCCAGAAGAGGAGGGCTTTGGAAGGGAGCAGTTGGTGGGCACCCAGCTGAATGGCAGCTGACAGTAGAGGTGTTTGTGCCCTGCAAGAGTGAGTGGTCTATACAAACCCAAGTGCATCACAGCCCAGGTGTTCCCATGCCACCATGCCAGCAAAGGGCCCAATGCCGGAGCATGGGGCTCCACAATGTCCCCTTGGTCTCAGAGAGATGGGGCAGCAGTGACATCAATGGAGCATCTCACCAGCTCCGAGCTGGAAGGAGACAGGGAGCTGCAGCCCCACTGTAGGCTGGCAGTGACCAATAGCAGCAGATCAGCTTCTGCCTCTTCCCATAGCACAGCATAAAATACAGCTGATAGAGGAGTTTTGGTTCAATCTAGAAACAGATTTCAGTACAAGAGTCAGCAAAAATTTCTTCTGCTTGAAAAAAAAAAGCCAATCAGGAGTAGAGACAAAGTCTGACTTACAAGAGAGGGGGGAAAACCAATCCGCAGAGAGAAGAGACAACAGTTTTGGCCAACACACCATGGCCTCCATTAAATAAAACACCCTGTCATTTGCATTCACTTGGCAAGTGACTAAACCTGAACTTGGCTGCACACTTGATGATCCACCATTACTTTCCAGGGAGGAGGTTGAAATATTCTTATTCCTATTCATTAGGCCAAAGTAATTCTCTTAATGCCATGGAACCAGCCATGGACAAGATGCTGCACATAATGTCATTGGCAGTGTTGCTAAATGAAATCCCTCTGCAAGCAGCCGGGGGAATCAATACTCGCAGTAATTTGTCCTTCCAAGTTTTCCTCCCACGCCTTCTTATTTGTGGTGTCAGTCTGTGCCAGCTCTATCTACCTCAGCCGTGTGTGGGGCATGGAGGGTCTCGGGGCTGGGTAAGTGCCCCGGTGAGGTGCTCTGCCTCTGCTACTCTCCTCCATTTGGGAGCCACTTCCCAGCCCCGTGGGCAGCACTTCTGTGTGGCCTAACATGTTGCTGTGGGGCAGGCAGGCTTTGTTGCAGGACTGATCAGGAGCCAAAAGAGAGGTATGAGGTGCTCTACCCTGGCTCTGTGGAGTATGAAGGGCTGATTTTATAACACATAATGGAAAAGAATCATGGCTTTTTCCAGTAATTGAAAATACAGCAAAGTCTTAATTAAATTATTAGCCAGAAATTCAGCTTCTGTTAGCCAATGCTGCCACACCACGGCAAACATGTCAGGCCATTAGCAAGCACAGGGCCCAGGGACAGCCCAGCCCTCACACATTAGCTGGAGTAAATCTTTATTGCTTCCTGAGCCCTTGCTTCAGAACACATTAAACACCAATAGCTCAGCACTCAATGTCGCCCAATATTATATCAAATCATTAGTGGAAGGTTAATCATTACAAAAAGAAGAGGTCTCAGCTGACATTTCACTCATTTCCTATGTGGAAGCCCTATCATTACCACAGCAGCACAAAGATTTGGGCTCAGTGGTACCTGAATGCATCACTGTGACTCCTAGGTAGAGGGAGAAGGGTCCCCATCTGTTCACAGCCAGAAGAAGGGACATGCCCAAGGACCAGACAAGTTCCATCCAAATTGCCATTTTTCCCAGCCAGCATGGGAGCCAGCTCGGTGGCAGAACCCTCCCTGAGGATTAGGCCTGAAACAGGGTCCCAGTTGCAGCCACCGTCACCCCACAGAGCAGCCAGCCAGGAGCCCTGCAGACCCAGGGAGGTCTGCACAGCAGGGGGGAGGGAAGCCCTTTAGTGTTCTGTACTGTCATAAAAAAATTTATATTACCAAGTTCAAATCCTTGTGTTTCTTTTCTGCTGGCATAATAACTTTGAAATGTGTTATTGCTGAGACACTCGCCTCTCTCTGCCAACAACTCCCTGGAGAAAAGCACTAGCAGAAGAAAAGAACTTTTTACAGCTTCTTCATAAAAGAAGTCAGCAATCCACTGGACCTAATCAACTTTTCCTAGAGATGACAGGGACAGAGCCTCAGCTGCAGTAAACCAGTGGAGCCTCATTGGTATGTCATAGAGAATGCTCCCAATTTGCTCTGTACCTTAGTCAGTCTCTTCCATGGAAGCAAAAATTTGTGTTGCTGCTTCCTCTGTCAGACGTGCTAGGAAAGAGTGGCAGACCAGTATTACAGTCTAGGAAGAACTAATAGGAAAAGAGAAGCATTTAAGTAAAACCACTCACTAACACTATAGATCTTCTTACTGGGTCAGCCTGCCAATGCATCAGGACAGCTGGATGGTGTGCGTGAAGAGAATCCACAGCTGATTTAGGATAACAGCCTAAATCAGGTGGATTTTAGGCTGCTCTTTTCACTCAGTCACGAAACACCAGTGCCAGAGTCTCAGCAAGAGCCACATTAGTGGCTGGTCTTTCCACCGCCATGAGCTGTGCCATCTGCAGGAGAAGACTTCCATTTCAGAAAGCACCTGATGGCCTCTGAGCTAATTTTCCCTGCTCCCACAGACAAAGGCAGCCACAGATGTGGTTACAACTTTGATTTTTTTTTTTAAATCATTTGAGAAATCTTGCCAGAGAACAGTTGGAAATGACAGTCCTAAGCAGAGGCAGCTCAGCTGGCAGACTTTGAAATAAGGCTATTGCATTAAGCGTTTAAACTGGAAAAATAAGTGGTTTGGCAATGAGGCAGTAGATCAAAAACTGATGCTCTGCAGGACAAGGGCTGAACCAGGCAGGGTGTCCCTGCCACGGGCAGCTCTGACCCCAGCCAGGAGCACCCCATGTCACTTTGCCTTGCTGCATTCTGGTTCCCTTCACCCATCACCCGGGACACTTGCACCTCTCTCATCCAGCAGTATGTTCAGACGCAGAATGGGAGAGCATCCTGGTCAGCGGGTCAGCAGGTTTTGATCCACACTGCAAAAACTGGATTCCAGCGCTGTTGTTTCTGGGGTGTGTGCTGGCTGCAGCAGCAGCAGGCAGCTACAGGCACCTGAGAAACCAAGCAGTGTGAGGCAGTGGTTTGGGGCAGACCACAGGGGACTACTTCTTCCCTTCCTTCAATTCCTAGTGGAGAAATAGAAAAGCAAGTGTAATCAATTTGGCA